CCAAAGCCAGGAGCCAGGAGCTTCTTCCAGATCCCCTATGTGGGCCATCTTCTACTGCCTTCCCAGGAGCATTAGCAGAGAGCCAGATTGGAAGAGGAGCAGCCAGGACTCCAATTGGCATCCATATGGAATGCCGGTACTGCACGTGGAGGCTTAGCTCACTGTGCCACAACGCCGGCCCCAGTAGGCAAATTCTAAAACAGCCAAGACGTTGCCATCCCCGAAAGGTGAAGGGTGACGGTTCCTAAGTTTGTGAACGTGACATCCACAAGAAAGGCCTTAGAAAGCCTCCTTGGGGAGCAGCGGCCAGCGGATGGGGACAGGACAGCGGGGGATCAGACAGGCAGCACTGGCCATAACCCACAGTCTTCAATAATCTGACTGGCCCCATAGGAATAGACTAGTCCCATGTAGCCTGGAGTCAAGGCAGTGAGGACCCCCAGAGAGCAGCAGCAGGGACAGTGACCGAGGACAAGCTGGCGTCTGACAGCGTCTGGCAATTCAGGGTTTGAAGGAAAGGAAGAGCTGTACAGGAACCAGGGCCACTTTACAACCAGAACTTGTACACTTGTACAGGAAACAAAAGGCTACTGTATTACCAGAACAAGTCAAACATGCTCAACTGCTAACAGCAGCAATACATACATAAGTCTGTACGAGGCAGGACTAAAACACACGATTTCCTTTCATACCTCAATCACACATCCCTGTTCCCCGATTTAGGAAGCCAGCATTTGGGGCAGGCTTGCAGAGAGCCATCCCAGCGCTGGATCCCCCGACCCAGTCTCCATCAAACACAGAGTGAATGCTTGGGGATGCGGGAATAAGCAACACGGCCCCGGCCCCTCGGTCACAAAGCTCTGGTAATCTCAGTGTGAAACAGACAAGTAACTCGAGCCCCGGTGTACGGTATGTACGGTTTCTCCTTTTAACTTACTGTACGTTAGACATGAGGGAAGTGTGACAAGACGTTTTAGACGATTTGGTGTCTGTGTGTCGTAGAAGGGGCTTCCCAGAGGAAGAAATGCTCCCGCTACAAACTGAGTAAGAATCGGAATGCAATGGAGGAGGTGGGTGTCACAGGCTCGGGGAGGGCGGGGCACAGGCAGCCACGGCAGAAGTCTGAGCACAGTGTGTCTGAAGGGTCCACCCCAGACGGGAGTACTGGAAAAGTAGGAGTCCCTGGCCTTCGGGAGTTGGGATTTTATCCTAAGAATAAAAAGATGCAACCTGGGGTGGGGGACAGGTTTAAGGGAGAATTGGATTTTGGAGAGACCGCTCTCCAGGCTGGACTGGGGACGGCCAGGTCCTCCCAGGAGGCAGAAGCAATTAGGAGGCTGCCATGCAGGCCCACGGGAGCAAGGATGGTGGTGCAGAGCTGGACGGGGACCCGAGCGTCTCAGCCACTCAGATAATCCTCCTGCATTTTGACAGGGGTGAGAGTGCAAAGACATGGGTGCCATTGCCTCAGGGACCACCTCTAGGTCAGACTGAATCCTGGCTCGGCCCCACCCACTCTATCAGCTTGTCAATCTCTGTGCCTCAATATCCCCATTGGTAAAATGGGTACAATAATGGTACCAAGCTCCAGGGCTATGGTGAAAATTAAATGGTTATTTATACGTATAATATATACATATATACACACATATGTATATGTGTATGTATTGGGTAAGGAACACACACACACATATGTATGTATGGATTGAGTAAAGTTCTGCCTTAGCTATGTTTTACAGCACAAGGGTTCATTTGGGGACAGGAGGGAACAACCTTCCAAGACTTAGTATAAACAGAAGAATATAAAGTATCTCTAATTTTACATACTTTGAAGCTGTGTTATTAGGGTTATTAGGTGCATAAGAGTTAAGAAATTTGTGTCTTCCTGGGAAACTCTGATCTCCCTATTTTACTTTTTTAAATATAGCTACTAGAAAATTTTAAATTACAGGTGTGGCTCAGGTAATATTTCCACTGGACAGGGCTGAGCTAGAGGAAGGATAAGAAGCCCCCAGGGGCCACCCGGTCCTGAGAGACTAAGAACTTGAATTCAGATGGCAACAAGGGAGGAGAGAATGAGAGGCTGCTGGAATCTACGTGAGAAAGGACGAGATTTTTGGAAGAGCAGAAAGGGGGTGAAGAACAAGACAGAAGATGTAGAAGGAGAGGCTGAGGAGAGAGGAAGGCCAGGGACATGCCATGTGCAACAGAAAAATTGCCCCTGCGAGGAACTCAATGCCCGTAATACCCATTTAATTAGGAAAGCGACACACAGTCTTTAACAGCCCTAATATTCCCAAGTAGACCTTGGTTATTTTTTCAAACCTACCAAATCCCATCACGTGACACTTAACTGATCACTCCAGATGTGAAAAACTGAAGGAAAGAAAGGTGGCGGGGAGAGGCCAGGGTGTAAGAGCCGATGAACTATCTAATAACTTAACCCTGGGTACTTTTTCACACACGAGAGAACAGAAACGTCTTCTATGGCTCAAAAGCTCAAACAAGACACGGGCTTTTCCTCTGGGTTCTAGGGAATTCTGAAGCAGCACAGAGGCATGCAGGAGCAGGTCTGAGACGCAGAGAGGAGGTCTGGAGAGTTCCATGGGAAGAAGGCTCAGGGAAGAACGAGGCGAGCAGGGGCTGAGGTCAAGTTAGGTGGAAAGGCCAGAGAAACTCTTCCCCAAGGTCAGGGGCTCGGGGAGCTAAACGGATCCTGACAGCTCAGCCTGCCCTGCCGCCTGACCCAGGGTGGCACCGGGGCCTGCAGGGGACGGTGCTTTGCGAGACCTGACTGTGCACAGCCAGGGAGACACTGGTCCTGACTGTCCCACTGACTCCTCGTGACTTTCACCCTCATGAGCCCGTAGCTGGGAGCTTCCAGTGTAGTTACTGCAAAACTGGAACAAGGTCGTCTTACCCGTGGCTCCCCAAACTGAGCAATGCACACACCCAGGACCTGGACATCCCGCTCTTCAGTAGAGACCCATCAGAAATGCACGCACGTGTAGACAAAATCCGTGCCCGAGCGTGCTGCCTCAGTACCGGCACAGCAGCCAAACGCTTAGAACTGCCCCAGCGTCCACCGAGAGAGCGCATGGATAAATACCTGCTCGCATGAGAGTGAACACAGCACAGTCACACATAGAACACACTGTCGTGGCCACAGTCGGCGGCAGCAGGGACTCTCAGAAACCCAACTTAATGGAAGGCAGACGGACACCGTAGGATCGCGCTTCCGTAAGACACAAGCAGGGGAAGCCAGAAGGGGGTGATCCTGGGAGGCAGCACCTGGAGGGGGTGCGTAGGGGTTCCCCTGAGGGCCCGGTGTGTGCTGGCTCTTGTTCTGAGTGTGTGAGAATGTTCCCTTTGGAAAAGTCACTGCATAGGACACTTGATGGCACGCCTACTTCCCTAGTATATGTGGTATCTAAAAAATACCTTTGGAGGGGGCTGGCACTCTGGCACAGAGGGTTAAAGCCCCAGCCTGCAATACCAGCATCCCATATGAGCACCAGTTCAAGTCCTGGCTGCTCCACTTCTGACCCAGCTCTCTGCTATGGCCTGGGAAAGCAGTGGAAGACGGCCCAAGTCCCTGGGCCCCTGCATCTGAGTGGGAGACCCGGAAGAAACTCCTGGCTTCGGATCAGCCTAGCTCTAGCCATTTTGGCCATCTGGAGAGTGAAGCAGTGGATGGAAGACCTCTGTCTCTCTCTGTCTGTCTGTCTCTCTCTCTCTCTCTCTCTCTATATATATATATATATGCCTCTCTAATAAATAAATCTTTAAAAAAAAAAAGAAAGCTTTGGCTGGCTGGTGTCCAGGTAAGATAAGCCCTCTAGGCTCATTTTTCTCCTGCGCTCACACACCCCCCTCTTGCTCCCGCCCTGCACATATGATCAAGCTGGGTCTCCCGAGGGACAGCTGTAGGTCACCATCTATATTTACGGCTTCCTTCCACATCAGGCCTGTGATTCACCCCCCACAGTACTTCCCCAGCTTACGCCACCTACTGGGATTCAGCCCTGGCTTCTCCTTCCTGGGCAGTTGGGAAGTTGATGCTATCATTAACGCCTGGATATTCCCAGTTGTTTTACTCTGCCAAAGCTTCCCTACCAGACAACCCCTGGGGGCGACTCCCACAGGAGCTCTGATTAAATCGCTCCCCTTCTCAACACGCAGCTTGGCCCCCTAGCACCTGCGATGTCTCCCACAGAGAAGCTCCCATTCTTGCCTGCCCACCTGCCAAGAGCCCCTCTGTTAGCCAGGCGCCCACCCCTCAAGGCTACACACAGGAAAGGGAAGCTGGGAAGAACTGGAGGAGGAGGCAAAAGAACAAAGAGTTAGTTCTGATTTTGCCTTGAAGGCAGCCTGAAAATGCATCACCCAGCTATCTGGATAAGGTGGAACAATCTGTAATTTGTGCCAAAGTTACAAGTTCTTTTCACAACAGTCATAAATGTGAGCTTTTAGAATGCACGCCTGCCATAAATTCCCCCTCCCCTCTCTTCTCTAAGTCTCTACATGCCTTCTTATCTAACCCACTTCTTTTCTTGCCTGGAGGAACAAACACAATCATCTCCACCAAGAATATTCAAGGATCATCTCAACTTACAGCAACAGCAGCACCCATATGACAGACAAACCCGTATGACAGACAAGCCAGAGAGGACTCCAGCAGGAGCAGGTGCCAGGCACAGCACTTCAGACGCCACTGGGAAGCCCACGTCCCACATCACAGTGCCCGGGATTGCGTCTCCACTCTGCTCCTGATTTCAGCATCCTGCTAATGCACACCCTGGGAGGCAGCAGGGGTGGCTCAAGTACTAGGATCCCTGCCACCCACCGGATTGAGCGCTAGGCTCCTGCTTCAGGCTGGCCCAGCCCCAGCCGTTGTGGGCATTTGGACAGTGAAGCAGCGGATGAAGATCTCTGTTCACCTGCGTGTGTGTGTGTGTGTGTGTGTGTTACTGTCTTACAAAAAGAAAACAAAGACTCACAGCATCGATCACCATGCGCTCGCAGTTCCCAGCCTCTCTCCTGATCCAAGCACCGGCTGGAATTCAGGTGATTCCCTGCTCTGCCTCCAGAAATGCTGGACGCCCTTCCGAGCTGGCAAGCCTTCAGGATTGCACAAGCAAAACCACAACCTGTCCTGACTGTATCTGTGTCTGGACCCTTCCATTCAGCAGAAATGGATTCCTCTCCCAGTTTCAGGACCTAGAAGAGGATTAGCAGCCATAAGCCAGGGGGAGGGTCAGCCTTCTCCCTCCTCGAGGCCCCAACACCCAGCACAGACCTTGGCACCAGGAGCAGGGAACCCCGGGAGTGCCAGATGAAGCCCGCCGGGAAAACCATTTTCCCTTTCAAACGAATGGCACCTGATTAGGCAAAGACCACACCAGGAATTAAAACGAGAAGATATAAAACGTGCCGCCCCGGTCAACCAGCGACGCTGCAGGACCCTCTTCGCTCAGAAACGTATAGTTCATGGCCAGAACCGTGAACCAGGGGCCCCAGAAGGGACATCAGCCTGATGTTAGGAGGGGAAGCCTAGGACAGACCAGGGAGTGGATCCCACACCGGGCCGACCCGCGTCTGCCAAGGTCACCAGCTGGTGCAGGGCAGAGTCGGCAATCCCCTCTCCCTCTGTTCGCTGGGCTCTACGAAGATGCTCTCCAACCACCTCGCCAAAAGGCGCCCAGCGACCGCATGCCCGCGTCCAGCCTCTGCTTACAGTGTCCGAGAAACCCAAAGGTCGCCCAAACCCGTCTCCTCCTCAGGGCTGGCCGCAGAGAGGGGGCGGGGAAGGTCACCGGCGGGTTTCCACCGGCAGACACCACACATTCGCCATGGACGCACAGGAGCTGCCAGTGTCCTGCAGAGGGTCCCCCAAGCCCGTCTCGGAGAAATGAGTTAACGGCGCGGCTGGCTCGGAAGCGTTCAGCAATGAATTAAAGCCCGGGCCGCTGCGGAAAGCGGTGCAGAAAGGGGCCACCGCAGAGCGACCTGACAGCGCGGCGGCTCGCCCTGACCCTCCGCCCCAGTCCACACCTGCGCGGGCCGCGGCGCCCCCGACCCGATCCACCCTGCCCCAGGCCACGACCCTCCGCCTGCGCCCCACCAGAAGCGTTTAAGGGGCGCCGTGCCCTGGGCGCTGCCCGCAGAGGCCAGGGCGGAGCCGCCGGGCCCAGCCAGGCGAGAGCAGGGACAGGTCACTGCCGCCGCCGCCCCTAGCCCACGGGCCCCTTGCTACACCGAGGAGGGGGCTGCGCCACGTACCTCGGCCGGCAGGTGCCGCCGCCGCCGCCGCCCGGGTTCGCGGCTGTAGGGCACGCCGCTCCGCGCCGCCCGCCGCCGTTAGGCGCATACGAAGAAGGGGGCGCCGGCCGGCTGCCAGCCCCGGGCCCCGAGCCCCTGCCCGCCCCCGGCGCCGCGCTCGCGCCCATTCAGCCCGGGGCCGAACGCTCCCCCGCGCGGATGCGGAGGCGGGGCGGGGGCGGGGCGGGGCGTCACGAGGCCGCAAGCGTCCAATCGGAGCGCGAGAGGGCTCCCGTGGCGGCCCCGCCCCCGGGGCGCTCGGCCCCAGCGCCCGCCGGTGCTGGGGGAGCAGGGCGCCCCCAGCGGGGACGCGAGGTGGCCGCTGGTTGGGCTGGGCCAGGCCGGGCAGAGCCGAGGGTCCCGGGCGCCCCTTGCTGTCTGGAGCTCTGTGCGCGGTTAGGTGGGTGAAGGCCCGAAAGGGAACAAAAGATGCATGTGCACGGGTGTGGGCTTTGCCGCCGCACACTGGACTGGTAGCTGCAGCGGAGTGGGTGAATGGAGGGACTTCATACAGTCTTAAGCTTTCCTCGCCAGCTGGCCCCTGGTCCTAGGCGGATTCTTAGGGCCTGTGAGACATCCACGAGGCTGGGTGTGTCTGGGGACTTGCAAGGCAGCTCTATGTAGTTCCACGTGTAGGAGAAAAAGAGCGCCAATGATCCAATGACGACGCTGCTTCTACTCACGGAGTAACTGAGGCCCTCAGAGCAGAAGTGACTGTTGGTAGGTGGCAGAGCCAGGATCAGAACCTGTACTCGGAGCTCTCACTTCATACCTCCAGAGCCCCTCTTGACTTTGGACGGGCATAGGCATAAATAGTAGCGAATCCGTTCTGCCTTAACCCAGCTCGGGGCCTGTGCCTTCCCTGGGCCTGAGGGCTTGCCTGTTAGCTCTGGTGAAGCCAGTGAGTGGGTCAGGACTTCCTTTGAGGCTGACAGACACAGAGATGGGAGCCATATGCCATGTGTCGTACCCCTCTCATCTGAAAAGGAATTTCCTAGACACACAGCCAAATAGATTTGCATAAACCAAAGAGCCTGGTGAGTCTTCTTTGCAGCAGCTTGCACAAGGCGCGGGTTTGGAGATACCTGCTTTTCTCCTGGTGGGGGCAGGGGCCTGGGGGATCAAGGTTATGGGCTTTGGGAGAGACAGAGTGAGAGGACTTCACTTTCCCACCTTCTAAATGCTTTTGCCATAAAGTATCTGTGGATCAGTCAGGTGAAGACACTGGACGCACACATTGAAAATGCTGAAGCACAAGCTCTCACTGGGTGGTTGCCAAGGCCAGCGAGGGAGAGCAGCTGCCTGGGGTGGTGACAGCTGCAAAGGAGACCATGGTGCACACCTCACCCCCCGTCTCTTGGAGAGCAGCCCGCGGCCTCAGTACCGCTCCTTGCCTCGGCTGCTCCTCCACTTCTCTCCCAGACTTTCCCGTCTCATACATTCTGGCTGCCAGGGAAGTCAGCAGCACCCTGGCTTGGGAGGGTGAGTGTCAGGTGGGGGTGAGGCAGACAGGGGACGTGTGGCCACGTCCTGTCCCAGTCGTGAGACTGGGACATCTGTTAAGCACCGACTACCTCGCTCACCCCACTCACATTTGGTGAGAGGAGAGGTTGACCCACTTTGTGGCAAAATGGGTCCTGCCCCCAGAATTCCTTTTTTTAACCCGTCTGAGCTGTCGTCAGCCACGGCTAGGGGTTAAGACACAGATCCCCAAACACAGGATCAGCCGCCAGGTCTCCGAGGCTTACTGGTCTCTCGCTAGCTCAGTGGCTGGTCCCAGAGAAGCTCCTAGACGCTGCTTTATCTGCACATCTAGGAGAGCAACTGCGAACTCGTAATTCTCTATTTCTATTTCGTAAATTAGTCAATCTGATGGAGGCATCATACCTGTCCCAACATCTACTCTCACTGTTGGTGACGTAACTTGCCCCTTGGGTAAGCTTGTCCCACCGTGTGAGTGGACTCTGCTTGGTCTAAGCCAGCAGTTCTCAACGTATGGTCCAGGGAATCTCTGAAGCCGAAATTATCTCATGCTAATCTAAGACATTCACTTTTTACACTGAGGATGCAAAAACAAAGATGGACAAAACTGCTGGCGCCCTCACTCATTCAGGTCATGGCCCCCAAATCATCAAACTCTCAGCTCTCGTGTATGCATTGTTTTAATGTTTTATATGACAAAGTGGAAACTACACATAGAGTCTTGCTGCACACCGACCTGAGATGATTGTCTCGCAGGTGAGATTGCTTCCTAGGAAAAGGTGCATGTGCAATTGAGTCGCAAGCTGAACCAACTGCTTCTCCTCGGGAAAACATCTGACAGCCTATGGGTATTCTAACGTGGCTATCCGGCAGATGTTGTAAGATTTATTTATTTATTTGAGAGGCAGAGTTACAGAGAGAGAGAGAGAGAGAGAAAGAGGCAGAGAGAGGGGTCTTCTACCTGCTGGTTCACTCCACAACAGTCAGGGCTAGGCCTATCCGAAACCAGGAGCCAGGAGCTTCTTCCCGGTCTCCCATGCGGGTGCAGGGGTCCAAGCACTTGGGCCATCTTCCACTGCTTTCCCAGGCCATAGCAGAGAGCTGGATCAGAAGAGGAACAACCGGGACACGAACTGGCACCTGTATGGGATGCCGCTGGCGCAGGCGGAGGATTAACATTCTGTGCCACAGTGCCAGCCCTGGCAGGTATTTTCTTGTGAACTATTGAGCCTGTGTCTTCCAGGAAAACCACTGCCTGTTTGCTGCCAATGATGAAAACATCCCAACTTTCAAGAAAAATTTAGAATCTTGGAAAACTTCGATTAGCTTGAGCTTGACAACTCGTCAGACCTTTTTGATGAGATGGACAGTGGTATTACTGAGTGTGATCTGGGGATGTTGAGCAATGACTAGGGCCTCGCCATTTGGAAGACCTCCGTTTACTCCGTGAGTCATTGCTTTGTAAAGGATTGGTACACGAGGTTGCACAGTCATACTTGTACATGGGTAAAGACTCATTGAAAGAACAAGACAGACCATGGATTTCAATAGTATGAGGAATGCATAGATGGGTTTCAATTTCCACAATGCCATGAGCCTTTAGGAAACCACCTCTTGTAGAATTTTATAGTAAATGAGCTGTTTTTGTAGATGTGTGGCATCAAAGAGGAGACTCTACAAGGATCTTGCAGGGTTGTTTTAAAACAGCTCCTCCCATTCCAATTACATTTCTATATGAGGCCAGCTTTTCTTCCTGTGCTTCAACCAAAACAATTTGCAACAGCTTAAATGCAGAAGCACATATGAAAATCCAGCTGTCTTCTATTAAGCTAGACCTAAAGAGACTTGGAAAAAAAATTTTTAAGTGCCATTCTTCTCACCAAACTTTTTTGTTTTGGAAAGTTTTCTTTTTTATCAGGATGTTATCTTAACATGTAACGGGCTTGGTATTTCTTATGAATCAATAAATATTTTAAAGATGTCTCAGTTTTGGCTTCTAATTTGAAACTATCAAGAGATACAACCTAGATGAGAAAGGGATCCTCAGTCATTCCTAGGAGTGCAAAGGGTTCCTGATGCCAGAGTTTGAGGCCCGCTGGTCTAAGCCTGTCAAACAATCCCATCCTCCAGGGCACAGGCAGCCACAGGAGCCAGCGGACACAATCAAAGGCAACCCCAGGCATGTACTAGATGGTAAGGGAGAGATGTTTCTTTTTTCTGCTAGACAGGAGCCTCAGAGGCCACTGATGGACAGCAATTTTGGACTATGAGAGAAGCTTATGTTGGGAAGAAAGTATTGCTGTGGGAAGCCAAGGCGAGAGATGAGGAAGAAGTCATTTCCTTTACGGCATTTTGGAATCACTAGTCAAACCTGCCGTTTGCCCATCCTGTCTGTATATGTTCTAGTTATGAGTGATGAATTCCTTCATAGGTTAAACTAGCCAACCTCAGGTGTCCCTGATGACATGTTGTATCCCTGTTTGTGCAAATGAGGTGACTTACAAAATTTATGGAAAAATGGAATGAAAAGATAAGTTTATTTGGTGCAAAAACATTGAAATCCATGCAGTTTGTTCATGGTACATATCTTTCAGGAACTTTTGGAAAACCCCTTTTATGCATGGATTTCACTTTTTTTTTTTTTTGGCAGCAAAATAAATTTATCTTTTATTCCATTTCCCAAAAACTTTCAAAAGTACCCTGCAATTTTACCTAAATAGGTGCCTAAGGACTTGGGTTCATATGCTTTCTAGGGTTTATGTATTTACCCATCATCAATGAAATAAAAATTAGCTTCTTTTTATTTATTTATTTATTTATTATTTATTTTTTTGACAGGCAGAGTGGACAGTGAGAGAGAGAGAGAGAAAGGTCTTCCTTTACCATTGGTTCACCCCCCCCAGTGGCTGCTGCAGCCAACGCACTGCAGCTGGTGCACCACACTGATCTGAAGCCAGGAGCCAGGTGCTTCCTCCTGGTCTCCCATGCGGGTACAGGCCCAAGCACTTGGGCCATCCTCCACTGCCTTCCCGGGCCACAGCAGAGAGCTGGACAGGAAGAGGAGCGTCCGGGACAGAATCCGGCGCCCCGACCAGGACTAGAACCCGGGGTTGCAGGCGCCGCAGGTGGAGGATTAGCCTATTGAGCCACGGCGCTGGCCCAGCTTCTATTTTTTTTTTTTTTTTTAAGATTTTTTTTCAGGGCTGGCATCATAGCACAGTGGGTAAAGCTGCCGCCTGAGATGCTGGCATCCCTTATCTGCTGGTCCGGTTCCCGGCTGCTCTACTTCTGATGCAGCTCCCTGCTGATGCACCTGGGAAAGCAGCAAAGGATGGCCCAAGTCCTTGGACCCCTGAACCCACATGGGAAGAAGTTCCTGGCTCCTTACTTAGGATTGGCCTAGCCCTGGCCATTGTGGCCATCTGGGGAGTTTAAAGAAAAAAAGATTTATTTTTTCTGAAAAGCAGAGTGATAGAGAGAGAAAGAGATCTTCCATTCTCTGATGTACTCCCCAGTTGGCCACAGTGGCCAGGCCTGAGCCAGGCAGGAGCCAGGAACCTAGGACCTCATCTGGGTTTCTCACATGGGTGGCAGAGGCCATCCCCCTGTGCTCTCCCAGGTGCATTAG